GCTCCTAGAGAGAAATCTCTGCCTCACTCAAAGATGATTTGTGATCCCCATCCCAAAGCTTAAGCCTCCTCAACAAATGAAGTAAACAGACCAATGATGAGAACCCGAGATAACGGTTTTATTCGGTGGCTCTCTCTGAGGCTGAATCAACTTTCTGTTTTATCATTGTCTCAGCTTGTTGAATTGCTCTCTGTGATCCTGTGATACTCACTTTCCTGTTGACATAACAAGTTTCGACATGAGAGGTAATTAACACATTGTTCGGTTATAAATAACTCTCCAGTGATGTTTATCTTTACCTATCGGTGGTTCCAGAAATGAAATCGCCTCGGTCTGATATTTTTATTCGGGCACCGGTCATCTGTGGGAAGTAAAGTGGGATTTTAAACCTTTGGTAGATTGAAAGAATTTTAATCAAGGGTTGGAAAATTTGGTGCAGACCTGAGTGATCTCCATGATGTTTCTTCCTCCACGGCCAAGGACCAATCCTATATGCTCATCCGATACACCAATTGTCACCGTGGTGCTAGCTTCTTCCTGAAATATATATCAAACCACAGCTTGAGTACTTAAAAAAAAAAACCAAAAAGACCATCTCGGAGTGCTTTAACACGAGAAGGCAATCTTATATGCTATAGCAATGTCTTGAATTCTTGGGTTGATAAGCTAATATCAATTGATTTTGTTTTTACAGGAGATTAAGCGGTGCGTTTGAATGAATGGCAAGATATATCTTACTATACTGAGCTCTGACATGACATATATAAATTTATTCAAGAAGTTGCTTCATCAAAAACATCAACAATCTCTTTGCTAGGCCTACTTCCTAGCAAAATCTGAGATGTAGATTTCGCATTTGTATTCTCCTTATGATTCTAGATAGGAATTGGTCCAAACAATTCATAATTGTAATACAGATAGAGATTTTTTCATGTATATATGTGCATTTACATAAATAGGGTGGAAGATAGTGAGACGAGACTAACCTTGTGGTTTTGATACTTGCCTCCAGAACCATTGGGTGCGTAGTTAACCGAATTGTATCCCGCTGTTGCAACAGAAGGAAGCACATACGCATATGGATGACCATGAAAACCAGAGTAGAAAAGACCTAAAATGCCGAGTTAAAAGGAACTTACAAGATAATTAAGCTTAACAACATACAAGCATGCACAATCCTCAAAATAGAAAAAAAAAATCCATGTGGGTACTAAACGCCATACTACTCTATCCTAACATTTGTCAAGCGATATGATCCGGCATCTACACTTGGCACTTAGACTGTCCACATATAACAAATTATTTACATTAAGTCTGGAAATGATCTAACCATGTACTCTATTGCTTTCCCAACATGAAAAGATGCTATGCAATCAAAGACATACAGAACACGACAACAAAAGTAACTTCAAGGAGGAAAACAAACCTAACTAAGCTAGTACTGAGTTGATATACCTGCATATGAATATGGGGAATGTACATTCTGGGAGTAATGATCGTCCTCGGTAAGCTTAGCCAAAATCAAGTCGATTGCCCGCATCTGCTCCTCGAAGGTTCCAGATAAAGTCACAAGCCTATCACTCAACCCATAGTAGGTATTATCCAGAGGGGATATCTTAATACCAGCTTTAGATTCCTCAATGAATGACCTGTGTCAGAAGTAAGATATGTCTTAACGGTTGGTGACAGCAGTACTACAAGTCAATATTCCTAAAAATAAAATTTAGAACTTAAGAGATATTAAAATGTCCCAGACTGACAATAATACTTCAAACTGAGTCACCTCTAATACCCAGAAACCTTTTTCGCTTGTTATAGGGTCTTGATTTTTTTATGCATGCATTCAGAGAACATAATTACTCTCTTAAAGATATGAACCGGAGAAAATTTGAACATGGAAACAATGCAAGAACATCACCAGACACAATCTAGATGTTAGTTGGTGGTTTTGTGAGCTACAGTAAATGGTGTTAAGGGAAACTGGCCATGGAAGCTCTGACAACCTCATACGATCTGCTATGACAAATACAGAACGGAAACTTACTTGATGGTGGCCCCTCCTTTTCCAATTATGCCTCCACAAGAACTGTTAGGAACCACAAGTCTTATTCTTCTCCTAGGTTCAACATCATTACCATCTTCAGCATGAAGCTAACAAAAAATCGAGAAGTCAAAATTGATCTCATAATATATAAATGGATTAGTTAAAGGACTCGAAAAAAATTACCTCACTGTGCAATTTATCAAGGATAAGTTCCAGTCCAGTGACAACTTCTTTAATGGTGCCCGATATCATAATAATTCTATCAGTCGTCCCAGGGAAAAACTCTTGATTACGTGAGAGTTGAATCCGCGCCCCAGACTTTGCCTGAAACTCAGTGATGGTCGAGCCACCTTTCCCAATGACGGAACCAGCTGCCGCATTGGATACAAGAAATCGAATGTGTGTTGGCTTCTCAGCAGAGTCTGAAAAGGAAGAAACACATTAGACAATCAAAGAGAAAAGCATAGCGTCCGTAATGAGCTAAACATTGAATTGAAAGAGACAATAAAAAGCTCAAGACTCCCGAAAAACATACAATCTCGATTACACACCAAGCTATCAGACATCATACAAAAACACTACATGAGAATGAGTCTAATACACCTCAATCACAGCATTGTTCCTTACATATAATAACAAATGGTTAATTTGTTATTCTCTTTGAATAATTCGACACATTCTGACCAAATTTACAAGATTTTCGTCAATGACCGAACTATAATTTCATTGAAGGCAATAAATACTGTAACTTAAACCATCCTTTGAAAATGAAATCAATCACATAGAAAATCTTCTCCTACGTTTTCATCAGCAAACAAAATTAATCACCAATCAACACTATCATATCAGAATAACTCATGAGATCCGATTCACGAAGATGACTAAATACCAAAACAATTGAGACGGAGTCGACGAAAAAAATGCATTTTGTTTATTCACCACAACGACGGAATTAAAAATCGAAAGACAAGACTCAGATCGGATCGGAGATACCAGCTTCCGACGAATCGTGTTGTTCTGGAGATCTCTTCGTCGACTCTTCAGGGGAAGCTGCCGCATACGACTCGGTAGATTCCATTGCCGCTACAGAAGATAAGAGGAACAAAAAAATCGAATCAATCAATTGACATTACCAATACAATGAACCTAAACAAAGGAAGAACGGAGAGAGATAAGACTCGTTCGTCGGAATCTGAGATTGAGAAGTCACCTGTCTTCGCACAATTCGAATCTCGTTCTTCCGTCGCCGTCCTTTGCGCCGGTGATTCTGAATCTGAGAGAGAGACTTGGATTCGATGTGCGTCTCTCTTTGGTTCTTCCTCGGCTTCTTCGTCTTTGTCGCCGAGCGGTTTGTGAAGTGAATGAAGGTGGCTCTGGTGTCCTTCGTCTATCTATCCACTAGGCTTTGC